AAATGAATCCCATTCAAGCTCTGTCCCACATTGGTGTTGCTGTGCCTATCTCTGTATGCTATCAACGGAAATAGCAAAGTAGCATTGTGCCGAAAAGAAGATGCGTGGTTTGCTCACAGCAAACACATGTCGGAGAAGGTCCTGTTACTATTTGGACTTTTGAGAACTATTAACGTTTGCCGTTTGATTAAAGGGGTTGCGCCAGCTGTACCATGGACAAACAATCGCCATGGTGCTGATGACAGCCTCAATGCCCGAAACTCGGCAAATTCATCGCAGCCATGTCTGGCACTCGTCCTCTTTCAAACCAGGTGTGAGCAGGGTTGCACTTTTTGCCGACTTAAACCAGGGGTTCTCCTTTCCTTGAGAACCCGTTTTCCCGCGTTTTCCCCGTTTGGCTGCGCGTCTTTATTTAGGATGCGCTTACTTACTCAGACACAAGGTTGACTCAACCAAAAAAAGAAACACCCTCAGACTGGGCTGTCCGTTTCAAGATCCACCGCCAAAATGTTGTTCACTTTCAGTGGGTTAACCAACAAGCTCCAAACACCTCTAGAACCGGAAAACTATCACTAAATCCCCCTGAAAGTCTTCAGCTGAACCTGAGACCCAACCACCTCTCACCAACTCAAAAGCTCCAAAAGCCAATAGAGAACCGGAAAACTACCGCCAAGCCCCTTGAAAACCGCTAAAACCTTCAGCCGAACCGGACAAATTCGCTGGTACCACCGCAAGGTCCGTGAACGCGCCGCGCGTCTCCGCGTCCCCGGCGCCTGCCACGGCCATAGGCCGCTCCACCGCCTCCGGGCGCGAAGCGCGGAGCTTCTCCATGCCTGCCGCGGCTTTGGCTTAAGGCGCCATGTGGCCGTGGTGGCCAAAACCCCCCCAAAGAAAGAAACTGGTGAACATCAAAATCGGTGGTACGTGGGTGGTCGAACCTGGGCTGTGACAAAGCTGGGCTGCCCGTTTTCAGATCCCCCGCTAAAAATGTGATCAACTTTTAGCTGGTTAAATGGAAAAGGGGATGGCTGGGAGCCACCAAGTTAGAACAGAATTCACTTTTTGGGCTGGTGTTTCAAGGGAAACCACAGGAAAGAGAAAACAAAAACATAGGTTTGCTGGTGTTTGTGTTTCTCGGTTGCTTTCTGCTCCCCTGCTGAAAGTTTAACTTTTAGTGGTTTAATGGGAAAAACCCAATTGTTGGCAAAAAGTTAAAGTCCTAACATCCAAGCAACATGCACCAAAGGTTTGAAGGGAAACCACAGGAACGACCAAAAAACAGATGTTGCTGGCTTTTGTAGGGAAGCCGAAAGGAAACCACGAAATCTGGTTACGGGTTCTTCTTGAAGAGAAGCGGAAAGTGTCGTTTTGGGGGAACCCCTTTTTGTCAGGTTTAAGGAGAGCCAAAAGGAAACTGGGATCCATTTTGGGGTTTTGGGGGGTGCCCCTATTTTGAAACACAAAACGAAGTCGAATCAGCAGAGGCACCACTCTTCGAAAGTTTGCCGAGTGCATTGCATTGCACTTCATATTTTGGGGATCCCAAAGTCGCTGTGGGTCAAATCCCCAGTTCCAATCCAAACCAGTCAGGGTTACCTGGAAGATCATTGACTCATCAAAAACAAGGGATCTCCCATGGCTGCTTCACATGGACATGAGTCAAAAATAGGGGAACCCAAAAATGGAACCCTAGTAAATGTAAAACAGGACAAAAACCTGCCGTCCCCTGGTGATTTGATTTGGATCCATACCCAAGTTGTGTTCCATGCACTCCCGTGCTTGCCCAAAACAACGTGCAGGTAATTTGCCGCCAATGAACTCCTAGTGTTGTTGGATTTGACCTTGATACAAGTTTGGACCCTGTGTTCTGGAGAAGGTCAATGTTCAAATTGATATACTGGCACTTCTTAATTCCTCCACCTTTGGATGGGTTTCCTCTCAATGTTCATCCGGAAGCACGACTTGAGCATGTACATCTTCACTCGGTTGCTTTCTGCTCCCCTGCTAAAAGTTTAACTTTTAGTGGCTTAATGGAAAACCCATTAGTTGGCAAAAAGTTAAAGTCCTAACATCCAAGCAAAATCCACCAAATTTCAAACTGGGCTGCCGGATTGAAAAATGCTCTGACTGACCACAAACCTTGGTAGCAAAAAAAACTGACCGTCGCTCGCAGCCCCGAAAAATGAGAACAGAACGGGGAGACAGACACTTTACAAGGAAAAACGACTCTTCCAGCATCATCCAACCGAATTGACCTCACCACCATATTTATACTGGACGAAATCCGTGGCACTTGGGAGAGATGAAACCCTTCTTCAGCCTCAAAAGGTCAGCAAAATCGAATCCACAAAAAATATGGTGGCTTCGCCTTTTGAGGTTCAGAGCTGTGACAAACCTGGGCTGCCCTCGGATCCCCCGCTAAAAGTTTAAGTTTTAGTGGGTCAAATGGAAACTACCACTAAACCCCAAAAGGAACCGGATGCCTGGGAGCCACCAAAAAACGGGGCGAAATGTGTTGCAGGCCAGCAGGGAATCCGCCGAAAGAACTCGCTCCAACTTCCAACCCGTGTGCGGCCTGCCATGCCTGCCAGGAACATCGCTGGCTGGCAAACCTCGGGAGCGAAACGGGCGTGAAGCCCTTTGTCTTTGAAACCGTGTCTGGGATCAAAGGGAAACCCCTTGTTAGTCGGAAACGCCTTGCTAGTCGGAAACCCCTTGTTAGTCGGAAACCCGTTCTTACTTGGAAGCCCCTTAGTTGGAAACCCATTCTTTGCCGTGTATAAGAGGAACACCAAGAAGGAGAACGGCAAAACGCCTCTTGGGTGTTGGTTGTTGTTGTTTTTTCTCCCCGCTCGCGGCTCGCTGGGCTCGCTGGGCTCGCTGGGCTCGCTGGCGCTGGTCTCCTCCAGCTTGTCTTCCGGGCCTTTCAGGCACACCTGGACCAGGACACCACACGATGCCAGGAGCTGTGACCAATGGAGCACCCCTCTTTCACCAACATGGTTTTTGCCAGAGGGTATGGTGATGTTGGGCCTGTGCTGTGCAAGCAAATTGGGCAGTGGCTCAAAATGAAAGAACTAGGTACACCGCAGGTTTTAGTCTTTGGTTCTATTTGCCAAGGTGCCATTTTGGTACATTTATCCCCAGATCCTCACCTAACTAGATCGGTGAAGTCACTAAGATCATGTATTTGGATCTGTGTTTTTGAGGACCCACAAAATGGGCGGTGTGTCTTTTTGTTTCACTTTACAGCCACCAAAAAAGGGGTACCTTCAAAAAAAGACACCCCCATTTAGAAATAGATCATGAATTACAAATTCGGGACGCTTAGGCCCCATTCAAGTTCAGTTGCTCTTGCACCTGGCTGCTGTCTCCGCCAAATCGGGGATCACCCCAAGTCACAACAGCGCCAGATTCAAGAATAGCAGCAAACGCACAAATGGATCTTTGGATGTGCTGCAGGTTCCTCAGCTGCTCTTGCACCGGGCTGCTGTCTCCGCCGAAGTCTGGATCGCCCCAGGTCACAACAGCCCCAGATTCAAGAATGGCAGCAAAAGCACCTATAGTTGCTTGGATGTGCTGGACGTTCCTCAGCTGCTCTTGCACCGGGCTGCTGTCTCCGCCAATGTCTGGATCGCCCCAGGTGACAACAGCCCCGAATTCAAGAATGGCAGCAAACGCACCGCTAGTTTTGTGGATGTGCTGGATGTTCCTCAGCTGCTTTTCCACCTGGCTGCTGTCTCCGCCGTAATCTGCACTACCCCAGGTCACACATCTCCAGATTCAAGAATGGCAGCAAAATCACTGTGAGTTGCTCGTATGTGCTTGACGTTGCTCAGGTGCTCTTGCACCCTGCTGCTGTCTCCGCCGTAATGTTGACGACCCCAGGTCACAACAGCCCCAGATTCAAGAATGGCAGCAAAAGCACCGTCAGTTGCTTGGACGTGCCGGACGTTCCTCAACTGCACTCGCACCTGGCTGTTGTCTTGGCCCCAGTTTGAAGAACCCCAGGTCACAACCGAACCGGATTCAAGAATGGCAGCAAAAGCACCTTTTGTTGCTTGGACGTGCTGGAAGTTCCTCAGCTGCTCTTGTAGCTGGCTGCTGTCTCCGCCCGAGTATGGATCACCCCAGGTCACAACAGCCCCAGATTCAAGAATGGCAGCAAAAGCACCGCCAGTTGCTTGGATGTGCTGGACGCTCCTCAGCTGGTTTTGCACCTGCCTGCTGTCTCCACCGGCAGCTGGATTGCCCCAGGTCACGACAGCCCCAGATTCAAGAATGGCAGCAAATGCACCCGCGCGAGTTGCTTGCATTTGTTGGACATTCCTCAGCTGCTCTTGCGCCTGGCTGCTGTCTCCATCACATGCTGCACTGCCCCAGGTCACAACAGCCCCAGATTCAAGAATGGCAGCAAAAGCACTGTGAGTTGCTTGGATGTGCTGGACGTTTCTCAGCTGCTCTTCCACCTGGCTGCTGGCTCCGCCATTTTCTGGAGTACCCCAAGTCACAACCTCGGCCCTGCAGCCATGCCAAGCGAACGCCGTGTTGTTGGCAACCCGGCCTTAGCTGCCGACCATTCGCAAAGAGTGCTGCTGCGCTGCAGCCTTCAGCTCGCTGATGGGCGTCGCCGGTGTGACTTCTATGGAGCAGCCTTCTCCACTGGGCAAGTGAACATCTACCTTCATGGTGCAGGAAGGTTCTTCTGGGTGCATTCAAGTTGGCAAGAACGCGCCTGAGACACAAACATGTAATTTCCAGGGGGCGCTTGTTTAAAGTTTTGTACGGTGGAGTTTGACACTGGCTCTTGAACCGTCCCCCCCCCCCCGGTAGGACCCTCCCAGCTGTCTAACTGCCCACTTTGCGACTAACGTGCTTGAGCCGAGGCCAAAGATCCGACGTCAGCAATTCGCCACCTCCATTTGATTAAGTCCACCGGAAAAACAACAGGTGGAAAAACACGATAAAAAATGAAAAAGTTCTTAAGCAAATGGAAGGTGAGCGAAGGCAACGGGCCGTTGGCAACCTCCCCCTTACCCCCTTACCCTTTTTTTCGGGACCCAAGTAGGATCCTTCTTCTTACGCCGTATCGTGGGGTTCGGTTTTTTCTGACCCAAAACCCCGAAAACCCGGACGAGGTTTCAAGGCGGTTCCGCTGGCAGCGCCCCAGACAGTCAGACAAGCAGTTTCGATCGAGTCTTCCCTCGTGCCCTGGGCTGTCCTCAAGTCGCCCAGGCCTCCAAGATGTCGTAGCCCAGCACAGCGCGTGCGGTTGCGATCATCTCCTTGACCTTGACATTGTCCTCCAGCAGCTCTTGCATGCAACCCGGGCACTTATGGCAGAGAACAGCTTGCATTCGATCTCGCAAAGCAAGGCGTTGCATAGTACGAGGCGGCCATGGATACAACAAGCCACATGAAACACTTGCAAAGTGAAAGCTGAAAGACCACTTCTCCAAGTCACTTCAAGTCACTTGTGTTTTCTTTGCACCCCAACAAACTCTTGTTTCAGCTTGGAGCCCGGTGGTTTGGTGGTGGGATGGCATTTACCCTCAGTCAGGGAACCGATAAAATCCGAATCCAAACCGGGCTCCAAACCAGCAAGCAGAAGCTGGTGGTTGGAGGTTCCCCCCCCCAACAACAGCAAAAAAGCACAAAAGGCCAAACCTCGGTGGCGAACTCTGCGAAGCCCGGCTAAAAGTGACCAAATCTTGCTTGGAGTCATTGGATACGCCCAGAATCTTGGTTGCGAAATCTGCTCCCCTGCCAAAAGTGACTAACTTTTAGTGATTTAATGGGGAAAAAACCCCTTGGTGGGCAAAAAGTTCTCAAGTCCTAACGTCCCTGGGCAACATGCACCACAGAAACCAAGGCCCAGCTCGCGCGGACGACGCCTGCAGGGACTCCAGCATCTTCACGTACTGAGAGCCCTGACCTGCGCGAAGCGCGAAGCCACGCAGGTCGGAACCCGGTTTGGGGGGTGTGGTCGGACCTTGGCTCATCCAATATTCCAAACTTGGGATTTCTACTTGTGTTGCCCCCCCAAGTGGAGCCCGATTTGGAGGTGAGACAAGCACCCCCCCCCCTCCCCGTTTTGGCTTTCTGCAGTTAGGGGTGGTCTCCCCCATTTACCCTCTACAAGAAGATCTAAATGGGAGTTCCTTTTTGTGAGGGCACCCCAAAAAGGGGCTTCGGTTTTTCCTTTGGCTTCCCAAAAAATGGCATCCTCAAGAAGACACACCCAAACGATCCAAAGGGTCTTTCTTGAGGATTTGGACCCCCAAAATGATTGTGGTTTGGTTTGCTTGAGGGAACCCTTCACGGTCGGATGTTGATCAATATTCAAGTTCATGCCTGAAATAAAAACCAAGGAGGCACCCTCGAAAAAACGGACACGCCCTTCCCCCCCCCTTCCCCCCCCCCCCCGCCTGGGAAAAGAAGGCCAATCGTTGTAGGACCAGTGGATGAAGCGGGTTCCAGAGCGCCCTGCAAGGAAAGGCGAAGCATGAACCAGGTTGGAGGATAAAGTTGGAAGCAGATTACGTGCGGAAGTCCCACAACCAGAAGGTGCTTGGGCCATGTGTGTGTGTGAAGAACATTCATGTTCCTCCCAGCTGCATTCGAAGGTTGGCACAGAGTCTGCAACGAGCAAGACGCGTTCTACGGCCTAATCTGAACAGGAAAAACTTGGGTGAAGAAGTCTTCAGTCAGAAGCCGCGCAAATCGAAAAACCCAACACAGCCCAGGGTCCTCTGACACAAGGCTTGGCTGCACCTTCCCTTTGGTGATCTTCTTGATCTCTTCAAAGGGATCCTGGGCATTGATCTCTGCCCGGCATGCACGGCGGCATGTTGGGAACAGACGATACACAGGCGTGCAAATGCGAGTAGAACCAACCTGCGGAGTCAACAGGCATCCTCAGAACTCGCTAAAAAAAAAAACTCCAAAGCGTTGATCACCCCAAAAGCCCAAAGATTGCAAAGATGATTCCGGGCAAACTCACGCTCGCGCGCTTGATCAGCCCTTCCTGAAGTCTCTGCCAGCCTTTGGGCTCACCAGCGCAACGTCGGGCTGATGCCTCACCCTGAGCCCTGAAAGCTTAGCACTGTCGGCCCCGCCCTCTCCTTGCCAATACCTGTTTCGCCGCTTTGGTAGATGTTGTACCTCGGGCCAAAAAGAAGCGCCGCATGAAACTCCGCTTTCCTAGCGCTGTGCGGCCTGAAGTGAGGTCCTTTCCACTTTGCTTGGAGTCATTGGATACGCCCAGAATCTTGGTTGCGAAATCTGCTCCCCTGCTAAAAGTGACTAACTTTTAGTGGCTTACTCGAAAACCCATTACTCGGCAAAAAGTTAAAGTCCTGACATCCAAGCAAAATGCACCACAGGAATGTACTCATCGGCTGTAACTGTTCTTTGAGGCCCCAGCCTGCTGTTGTTCTCCTTGCCATAGCGCACCTGCAACTGACGCTCATACCCTGAACGAGCTAGGTGCATCTCGCTTCACATTGGGGCGTGCTGTGCGGGCCAAAAAGAACCTACTAGGGGACCGCAGGTGTTAGTCCATGTTTCCATTTACCAAGGTTCCATTTTGGGTACCTATTTTTGACCCACAGACATTTTGAGGCCAGCACGTACTTGTGTGGTGGGATCTCCTTCAAAGCTTTGTCCTCAGCCACGCACTTGCCATGAAACAGCTCCAGGAAAGACGACCCCTCTGCAAAAAGTTCAGCTTTTTTGTGGGTGTAGTGGAAAACGCCTTGATTTCCCAAAAAGATAAAGTCTAAAGATCCAACGCTATAGCAGTCAAGGCAAGCGCAATTCAATCTTCAGCCACTGCGCATGCCAACGTCTGGATCCGGGACTAATTTGAAGGACTGAAGTGCCTCAGGCTGGCTTCTACTTTTTGACTACCCCGAAGTCTTAAACCAATGCTTGATGTCCCCAAAAGGGAAACCCATAGGTTTCAGTCCACCTTCACATACTCAAAAAGGTGGACTAGAGTGCCCAATTAGGTGCTGAGGATTCTGCGAGAACCCCCACGATGTCATCCCAGCCGTGCTTCAAGGCGATGTCCTCAAAAGGCACGCCGCTCTTCCGCCAAGCCCTAGTTTTTCTTGGATCATGGAGGTTGATCAAATGGTCCTACATGGGATGGAAACCCATTGGTTGGACCACTAAAAGATGAATGAGACCTTTTTCCCAGACGAAAAACCGTTTCCCATGGTCATTTGGGGAGGAAAAATCGACCTAGAGGTTGCGGATCAAGACCAAAAAAAAGTACAGCTTGCAAGAACAGAGAGACACATGAAACACCTCAAGCATCAAAGCTTGTTTAATAATAATAATAATAATAATATTCAAAAAGAGGTGCAAGCGCTGCAACACTGCTCAAGTCCAAAACACATTCCTGAATCTCAGGAAGGGGCCCCCAAAACGTCCGCTTCCACTCTGAGAAACACGGCATCTGAACCTCACTTCCTGCGTGGCTATAACCTACTCAAAAGCAGACCCTGGCGTTGCGTCCAGTGTCTGGGAACATTGGTACAAATCGCCACTTTGCGTGGCTCCGAAAAAAGCCACCAGGGACTTTTGGTTTGCCACACATTAGTTCAGCCAATCAAAAGTCCCTGGTAGCAAGGGGAGTGCCAATAGTGGCAAACAGTAGCGACTCCAAACCATAGGTGTCCTTTTTGGAAAATAGATGGATTTCCCTGGTAGATGAGAAAAAACCACCAGGTAAACCGATCAGAATACCGAGACCCATCTATTTGGTTCAGCAAACCCACCAAAAAAAAGATGAGAGGCAAACCAGGGCCTTCCATTTTTGTCTAAAAAAGGACACCAGTGGCAAATAGAACCCTCTTGGCTTGCCAATCAGCTCCGTGAGTCCGTGAGTCAGTCCTTGGCAGTTTCGCCCTCCGAGGATTCCTGGCGAAGAAGAAAAAAAAGAAAAGAGAGCCCCCGGCCCCGCGCCGCGGGTTTGGCGTCCAAGTCTTGGAGACGGTAACCGACCCCCCCCCGGGCAAAAAGGGAATCGCTTTTTGGGGGATTGAGTGGAAAACGCCTGGATTCCAACCGAAAAGTTAAAGTCCAAAGACCCAACCCAAGAGCAGTTGAGAATGTGCATCTCTGTTTGCTTTTTTTGGTTTGCGCGAAGGGGCGTATCTTGTCGGACAAAACGCCTTCGCAAGATCACTAGCCGCCTTCATGATGCCAAAGGACTCAGAAAGAAACAGTTGAACTAAAGGAGGATTAGGTAGATTGTACTCAACCCATCGTATTTGAGCTGTGCCTGCAGCTTGCAGGCTTCTCAATAATTGCTACAACTGGCCTCTCAAATCAAGAGTTATGACACTGCATCCTCGTTCATTGACAATAAAACAAGCATACTCTAAGCGTTCTCCCATCTTTTTATCTCCAAAAGGCGCATCACAAAAGGCGCCACCCAAAGCATCGCAGCCGGCAGAACCCATCCAAAGGCCCAACTTTCACGCGAACTCCACCGGCCTTTCCGAAAGGCACCCGGCACCTCGGACGCGCGTCTAGGAGCATGAGAGTCGACTCCAGTCCACATGACCGGCTGTGTATAGATACAAACATAGATATAGAAACCTGGAAATATATAAATATATAAATATATAGAAATATAGCAATATATATATATATAGTTATTTATATATATATATATCAACATATATATATATATACATATATATATATATATGTGTATTCCCGATCCCAGGTTCGCTACCCCCCACCACGCTCTAGCCCCAAACTCACCAACTCCAAACCCTGAACCATAAAGAAACCACAAAGAATCCATAAAGGAGATGCAAAAAAAAAAACATAGAGAAGCCATAAAGCTGCCCGGAGCCCACCCGCGGGGAATGAGCTCGGGGAAAGCGACCTGCCAAACCTATGGCCGCGGCCCTTACGACGAACATACATACATAATACATACATATATATATATACAGGTATATGTATATACACGTGTGTATATATATATATATATACACATTTATGTATACCTACACTATATACATATACGTTATACATTGAATAAACGAGTTCGGGCAAGTATGGTTCTGCTGGGTGCTCTAATTGCCAGAGCTCCTGCAGTACCTAGTTGAACAAGCGGAAATCATCGCCGAGCGCGCGAAGCTTGCAAAGTTCCAGACTCTTGCCAGGAGTGACACGGGAGTTGGGGTGTGCTTGGGGACCGCAGGCATATAGTTTTTGGTTCCATTTGCCAGGGCAAGCGATTTTCCGGGATGGCCAACGAAATTTGACCCACAGCCATATGGCCATGGGTCAAAAGCAGAATCGTACCCCCAGTCAACATCCCAATCCAACCACTAAAATAGGTTCTAAAATGAGTGGTGCACCAATCCCCGAAAAAATGGGATCCCAAATCGGTTTTGGCCACCACAGCCATGGTTTAGCTGTCCAGGCCGGCTGAAGCTCCGATCACCGGATTCCACTGAGGTCTCCGCTTCATGTGCGGATCAGCTTTTGCTTTGATCATCAGCTCAACGCACTCGATCTGCCCGGTCCTGAGAACCGAAAAATGAGGAAAAAAAATCCGCTGGGAGCCGCCAAGTTAGGACAGACTTCACTTTTTTGGGCTGTTCTTTGAAGGGAAACCTCGGCGAAATCTGCGAAGCCCCACTAAAAGTGACTAAGTTTTAGTGGTTCAATGCGGAAAACCCATTAGTTGGCAAAAGTTGAAGTCCTAACATCCAAGCAACATGCACCAAAGGGCGTCTCCTTGCTCTGAACAAAGCAGATATGCCTTCTTACAGCGGCTGAGTAACGGCTTTCTTGCGCTTTGTTCTTACAGCGGGTGGGTGAGAAGGGCTTTCTTCACGCTTTGTTTTGTTTTTGCCTTCACTTTTCCCCCAAACAGAAGCGTTCCTCAACAAACTACCCCATGGGAAACCCATTAAGCCCAAAAAAAAAGCCGTTTCACTCCTCGGCCAAGAGGAATTGCTATCAACGCCATCCGTTTTGGCAGCGCCTCGGTTCCGATTTTGATTTTGGCACTGCCTCTGTCGCACTCGCCATCCTAAGACTAGAACAAGGATGACCCAGGTTGAAAAGCCGCTTGCATCTTGATCGGTCTGCCAGATTGGTTCAACAATGGTGACAGCACAGGAACTGAACCGTCCAGATGCTGCCGAACAATTCTCAGGCTCTCAAGGTTTGATCTGGTCAAAGGCAGCAAATCCTCCAGCTGCATTTGCGGAGGTGCATAAAGCGCCAGGCTCTGCAACTGATGCGAAGCTAAAGGCCGGCTCAAGGACCGCCATTGAAGATTAATCATGGGGACAATCTCAAGCACCCGCAGACCCGGCCGAGCATTAAGTAGCTTCGCAACCTGCTCGCTGCACTCGCTACGGATGCTTCGCTGAGCCAGAGCCTCCACGGCGTGTCTTTCGCCTTGCAAGCACAGCTCCTCTAAGGCTGGGAGCGAACACAAGGACTCCACAAAGTCATGGCAGTTGTCGTGCTCCATGTCCTCCATAGCCAAACAAAGCAGAATGTGCAGCTTTTTCAGGACTGGCAAGTTGCTGAGCAAAGTCCTGGCTTCAGAATAGTTGAAGATCTCCAGTTTCAGGCTCTGCAAAGATGCAAAGACGTCTGCGAACACGCGGCAGCGAGCAGGAAGGGTCCAACACTGGCCCCGGTACGGCAGTATGTCGAGGCCGTGCAACTCTGGGAAAAGTCGCTTAATGTCCTGGAGCAGGGCTATGGACAAGATGCTACGGTGCGGCATGGTGGACGACCAGGACTGTGGGAGCGTCAAGCGTTTCGCCGCTCGCCATCTTGGCTGTGCCAAGAAAGCCTGCAGGTCTTGAGTGCTGGAGAAGAGCAGGTTCCCCCCCACTGCGCTCAAATCCATCGTTTGGTTCCAGCTCCTCTCCAAGTCCACGTGCGCAGACTTGGAGAGTGTCCATAGCTTGGCGAGGCAAGGCGTGAAGACAAACGACAAAACATTGGGCAGAGTGTCGCCGTGGCAGGCCATTGCCTGCCACGTGCATCTCCGCAGCCCCTGCTTTTCAGCTTGCGCCGCTCGCTTCAAGGCGTCGATCTCCGCGTCTTTGGCGGCGAGCTCCGCGTCCTTGCCTAGGCTGGAATTAGGACCACTGCAAAAATGATATTGTTTGCCTGGTGAGTGGAAAACAAAGGGGACCCCCCAAAAAAAGCCCCCCAAAAAAAACACATGGGGAGCTAATTCTGGGGAAGTTGCAAGCATGTCCCTTCGCAACTTTCCTCGCCATGTGCTTCAAGGCCCGGATCTCCGCGTCCTTGGCGGCGAGCTCGGCATCCTTGCCCGCCAGCTGCTGCTTCAGCGCCAGGACCTGAGCCTCTTTGGCGGCCAGTAGCTCCATGTCGCATTTGGATTGCACCTCCATCCTGGAGACCAGCTGAAACTTGTTGGATCAACGAGTGTCACAATCACAAGGACCAAGCGCCAACAGGTCACATCAGGTCCTAACAAGATTTCGACATTCAAGAAATCCTGCACAGGCACCAATCACTGGATCTGGATTCTGTGTGTAATATGAGAGGATACATGGATGTTGCAGTCGTGGAACTTTAACTGGTCCAATTCACGACGTTGCCTGATCCACGCGAGCCGCACAAAACAGAGAGAGCGTCGAAAGTCGCATCGAGAAACTTGCACAAAGAACCTCGCGCAGAGAACTTGTGAAAAGATACCTGGACCCCCAATGGACCCCTTTGCTGTTCTCCTTTAACCCATAAAGCGGTACAAAGACCAAAAGAAAAGGCCAACGGGTTTTTTTGGGGTCCAGGTCGTTGTTTCAAGGCGTTTCGGGACCCCGAAAAAACACGAGCCCCGCTTAGCGTGTTCGGCGGAGAGACTTCGAAGCTCCGACAGCACGTGCATCTGAAATGAGTCATAATCAAAACCCGGTAGTACAATGGTCTACCCAGAATCATGTAAAGAACTACCAAGGCGGATATCCGCACCCATTTATGGCAAGGGTATCGTCCCTTACTAACCTTCACCTACCCGGGTTTTGAAGACGTGGCTCAAATTGAGGGTCACATTGCGTGAGAACAAGCCGTGACTTGTTCACGGTCGCAGGCCACACTTGGCGGGCTTCTCTCAGCTGTTTGCTTTAACAGGCTGACTCAGACGTGGAGCTTCACCCAGTCACACCCTTGCAGGCCGATATCCCCTCTGCAGATGGATGCTGCAAAACACGAACCATTCGACCAGCAAATATGTGCTTGAATGCAAAAGTCTCAGGGTTCCTCGTCGCCATGTATGCTGAGTTGATGTCCCAAAGTCCGATGCTCGGCACTGAAGCAATCCTGCGAAAACCAGCTAAAACCTGAAAAACCGAAGAGAACAGCTGGGAACCGCCAAGTTGAGTGGGTGTGGAACTGAGAACATTGACCCATCCTCTTTGCTTTTCCCCAGCGGAAACATCAAGGCACTATTTCACACGAAGGACAATGCACCATCCCCTTGGCAGCAGACTGGCACGCCAGCATCAGAGGCGTCATAACCTGCAAAAGATACATCCAAAATGCAGAGATGCGAACAAGTTTCATTGAATGAGAAATGGAATGACCGCCATAAACCATCCCTTGTGGTTTCCTTTAAGGGAATCCCCAAACGGTTCATTCCCAAAATGCTGGGGTCATTCCCTACTGAGCACCAGCAAGCAAAGCGAGGCCCGCTGAACAACTCGTCAGCTCGTCTAGCGTGTACCCTCCCTTCGAACATGGCACCTGACAGGTGGCCCCCCAAGAGGATTCTTTTTATTTCCAGGTACCCTCCGACAAGTGCCATGTGAGTAGGAGTGGTGAAGTGCAGAAATGCATCTGTGCGCCAGGCCGTCTTGCCCTGGAATTGAACATGCCTGGGCTCCGGAAGGTGCCGGAGTTGCACATCCAAAACACGCTACTTCGGAATGCCCATGCCGTGACTGTGTGTGTGTGTGTGTGCATTTAGCTATGTGTCAAAACAAGCGGGACGCCTTTGGGATTGTTTGAGCCACAGACGTGCCCTCATTCAAGTCAGCCAGGGTGCGTGTTGATGTCTCCAGGGAACTTGTTTTCTGCGTCCCCGGTAAAGAGGAGCATGTCCAGCACATCGAGATCGCCCTGAGACAAAATACACGGCCATGGGTCAAAATCCAAATCGTACCCCAGTGAACATCCCAATCCAACCACTAAAATAGGTTCAAAAATGGGTGGTACACCTACCCCAAAATGGAATCCCATTGGTTTTGACCCACAGCTATCCTTACATTGTACACCTGACAATTGCAACTTGTACATGGTGGTGTCCTTTCATTTTGCTGAAAAAAGCGACATGTTTCAAATTGGCAAAATGTATCTTTTAAGGAGCCCTGTGCAACAAGAGGATGTTTCTCAGGTCTATGAAGTCTCGCTGCAATGGATTGGATGTAAAAAAAAAATAAAAATAAAAAAACAATGGATGCCCCAATCAGAAATGACATGCATGCCCCTTATTCGGGAATCCCCAAGCGTCTCATTCCCAAAACAAGCGTCATTGCCAATGAAGATTTGGGTGGCACAAAACAAAAATTCGCGTGACATGCTCGTGACATGCTCGTGATATGCTCGTGACATGCTCGTGACATGCTCGTGACATGCTCGTGACATGCTCGTGACATGCTCGTGACATGCTCGTGGCCCGCCCCTCACATGGTGAGAAAAAAAAGAAGAAAAACAACTGTGGAGAGCCCAGTCCTGGTGGCAGGCTTCGGCCACTCGCCGCAGGTCATACTTGGGATTGCCGTTCCATGGCCCTGGGCGCGCGCGCTTTCGCGCGCGGATTTTTGGCACCGATCGACGGTGCACGCGTTCAAAACCCGTTTTGGGGTTCCTTGTATGCACCAAGGGTAGTGTGGTGTTTACGCCAAGAGCAAGTGACGCCCTTTCTTCAAGGTTCCTTTCAATTGCTCGAACGAGTGGAAAGCTCGAAACTTTTGCAAGGGGCAATCAGGCTGACCGGACATGGCTGCACCTTTGTTTCATGAAAGAAAACCAAACCACGAAGTGTCACTCAGCACCACTGAGCTGAGCACCCATGGCTCTCCTCAATCAGCGCAGAGCATGCCCTAGTTTGGCTGATGGCGGCGATGTGGGCTGCGACCGAAGCCTTCGGCAAGATCTACTGCGCTCACTCGGATGCATCCCAGATCTCCCAGCCAGGCGCGGGAGGATGATGGAATTTTCTCCCTGAAGCTTCCGCCGGTCGCCATCGAACCAAATGGGTGTGGGTCAAAAGCCAAATCAGTTAGCCCCCAGTGAAAGGGACCCAATCCAACCACTAGAATAGGTTCTAAAATGGGTGGTGAATTCACCTACCCCAAAATGGGATCCCATTGGTTTTGACCCACAGCCAAATCCGACATCCAACCCATACTTCAAACCCGGCAGCTGCGAAAAATGCAGGACTGTTGGCTGCAACACTCTGCTTTTACATGGCCCAAAGCAAAACAATCCCGAGCACCCACGACACTGACAGCTGACAGTCCTGTGTAAAAACTTCAACTGGCCCGAGGCTCCACGTCTGACCCATCTGGCTGCAACAACAAATTCTGAATGCTTGTTAAACAAGCGGATACTCCTGAACTGATGACACTGATGCGTGACTCCTTCAATTTTGGTTCGAAGCAGCCTCAACCCCTCTGAACTGTTTGATAAGTTAGTTCAGGTTCTTGAGAGTCAGCTGATGAGGACGGAGCACAGGCTCATTATCTGCAAGGTCCGCTCTAAACTAGCAAACATTCGGTTTGTGACTGTTGGTATACAAAGCAAAACCAGATCCCGCGGCCAGAAAGGACCTCGCACAAAGTTATTTCGCCTCGAAGGACAGGCAAAGGGCGCCGTTTAACAAAAGTTGATTGACAAACATTCCGCAAGGCCAGCTGAACATTGGTGCAGCGACCGAAAATCCATCCTAAATGCAAGATTCCCGCTTCACGCGATGAAGTTGCATCAAATTGAATGTGCGATCACGAAACGTGGGTCACTCTGTGAAATGGTGCCATTCACTCTGAGTTCGCTTAAACAACGCAACTAGATTGGGAGAGAACGCCCTGCATCACCATGTGTCAAAACCCAAATCGTACCCCCAGTGAACATCCCAATCCAACCACTAAAATAGGCTCTACAAGAGGTGGTGAATTCACCTACCCCAAAGTGGGATCCCATTGGTTTTGAACCATGACCAAGTGAATTCTGCTCTAAAGCCCTTCAAACAACAGCAAACATATGTTTTTGCTTTTCCTGTAGTTTCCCTTCAAACACCAGCCCAAAAAGTGAATTGATACCATTGGTGTTGACCCACGGCCAATTGGCTGAGGCAGGGAAGCCCTGCTTCTCGCCCCGTGCCGGATGTCTCACACGGGCCGCGGCACAGGCGGCACGGGCAGAAGCTTCAGCAGCTCTTTTGGGCTTCCGAGCACCTTGGCGCGTCTTTGGACGTTGGTGGCTTCGGCCCTTCGGCGACCCCTGTAGACAGACGGCTTTCCTCTTGGAAAGGGGGGTTTGTGCACTTTTATGGGAGGGCCTAATGTTAACCTGGTTGATTAATAGGGGGTGATTAATAGAGGGGGGACACCCCTGGTTGAGTAATAAACCCTGGTTGATTAATTGGTTGAGTAATAAACCCCTGGTCTTAATCCTGGGTCAACATTCTGGCCCGCCAACCCCTCTACCTCTGATACAAAATTTACAGAACAAAACTGCTTGGTTCTACAGCTGATCGCTTGGCCAAGCAGGCGTTCAGAGCATTTTCCTCAAGGACCAACCCATCAAGCTTCCTCAATGTTCATGCACTGCTGGATATTGCACCAAGTTTGGTTCAGTAGTTGCATCTTCTTGATCTGGACAACTGAGTTCTTTGAACATCAGAAGAGAACTATGTCAAGGCACGGTATCTCTACACATCAACCCAAGTTCTACCGTTGTCCAACTCTGACGACTTGCGATCCAACTCTGCGACGCCAACAGCCGGCACGCTTCCACACCACGGACCCGCTTGACCCATGGCGCATCGTTTTTGGGGCACCCCTCTTCCCCCCCCCCCAACACAAAAGGCAAGAAAAGAAAGGAGGTATTCCTGCTGGTGCTCCTTCTGAAGCCACCAAAAAGGGGGAGAAACAAGACAAACCCCCATGAGGCTGTGTCTTTTTCTTTTTAGGGGACCCCGCCAAACAACACATCAGTGGCTTTCCTGTTGGTTTAAAGGACACCAGCCATTTTCAGGGGTCCCCGATTTTGAAACACCCACATGGTTAAAAGAATATCTTCACCTGACCCAGCTTGCAAAGTTGCAAAGGCCTCAGGCTGGTTTCCCCCCCGCCCTCAAACAAAAAAACAACAAAAACTCACGTGGCGGTCCTGTCGGTGTCTTCTCGTTTCAACCAAAAACGACCAACAAAAGAACACCACGCGGCCTTCCTGTCGGCTTTTCGTTCGTTTCAACCCACCCAAAAAAGAAAAATCGACGACAAAAAAAGAAAAAGAAGAAGAAAACAACAAAAAACAGGGGGGGGAGAACAAATGCCATCCCACAGGCCTTGCCCAAGTTCTTGGGATCGAAGTCCTCCAGCTCCAGCTCCACGCCCCGCTCCTTCAGCACGTCCTCCACCTGCCACGAGGTGTCCACGCGGCGGGGTCGGGGGGGGGGGGGGCCGGGAGCCTCCGGCGGAAGTCGTGGCCAGGCCCCCCCCTCCCCTCCCCCCAGTTTTGGTGTGGCTTTGAAAGGGAAAAAATCACGAGGTGGGGGCAAAGTGGGTCCATATTGGTGGGAGGCCCGGAAAAAAACAAACGAAGAAGCCGCCTGCGGCAAAACGCATTAAGCATCCACATTCCGGGGGGCGCGGCCCGAAAAGAAGAAAGAAGAAGAAAAAAAACACGGCAACCCAGATCTCCTTCACTGCAACCCACTCCCAAACCCCACGGGAAAGCCACTCGCACCGCTGCCGTCGCTCGAGGCTCCGGGCGGTGTCGCGGATCAAGGCATCGGCCACCTGGCCGCGGGAGGAGAAATTTTCTCGTGGTACCTTCGGTCACCTTTTTGGGTGGTTTCCCTAATGGTCACCCCATGCAAGGGACCGGTACCTTGCCCGTTCCTAAACCCAGGGATCCTTGGATCTTTCTGGAAAACCTCCGGAAAAACCCAGTGGGGAGAACGGATCCGGTGCTTGGAAAGAAGGATGGGTGGAAAAGAAGGGGTCATCAACCTCTGGAGAAATGGAATGAACCTTGGCTTTTGTTCCCCGAACCGGTTGTTCTGATTCCCTGCTAGAACCTGATTCCCTTAACTGGGCTGTTCCAAATGGGTTGGCCAATCCTAATCCAGAATCCCCGATGAAAGACACCACGGGATTAAGGATTACCTGTGAACAGCCCAGCATAAAGGAAGCCACGGGGGGTTTATGAATGAGGGAATGACCCTGGAGAGAAAACTCTGCTCTGCCTCACCCATGGTAGGGGAGCGGCTTTTTGCACCATCCACCTCCCGAATGCTTTTTTGACACCCTCAGCACCGGAAGCCTTGGTTTAAGATTGGTGTAGGGTGGGTTGAGGGAGCATTTAAGGTGTCTTTTTGTTTTATTTGGGGTGGGTTTGGTTTGGTGTAGGTTGGGCTTCAGGTTGGCTTAGTTGTGGGTTCCGTGGTGGCTTAGTGTGGGTTTGGTGTTTGTCAGGTTTGGTTTAGGGCTGGTTTCCGGTTGGATTAGGTGTGGGGTCGAAAAGCAACCAACAGCCATGAAAGTTAAATTTCGAGGGTTGAGGCTTGGGATTTAGGTGCCTTTTCAAAGGTCATGCCTTGAGAACAAACAGCTGGCAGTGAAGCTGGGATGATGCTGGTGATGCTCATGGAACGCACCAAAAGCTGCCAAAAGGCAAAAAAACGCAAGAGCCAAACAGCCCGCCGGAAAGCAGCGACAATACTGAAAGTGCACGCAACCTATTGAGCTCGGGTGTGAGGCGTGGCGTTCGTCTGACCAACCCAGGCGGCTGCCCAACTGTAACTCACCGACCGACCGGCGACCGAGTCGCCGTGGCTCCGTTCCCGCCGCCTCCCTTGCCAGCGCCGGCGTGAGGTCCGGACTCAGCAGCTCCACCAGTTGCAGCACGTCCTCGCGGTGTGAGGACGAGGCAGCAGACTTCTCATAAGACTGCCTTCATGGGAGGTGAACTAGGGTAATCAAGAGCAAAACCGGCACCTACCCTGCCAACATTGTTGAGGTGAAGCCCGAAGTTGGGGATGTGCCAAAAGCAAAACCACATGGCACCCACGTTGCCAAAAGCGTGTGGCTATGGGTCAAAAGCCAGAGCCCGGATTTAGCACCCAGTGAACGGGACCCAATCCAACCACCATAGGTTCGAAAGTGGGTGGTGAATTCACCGACCAACCAAAATGGGATCCCAAAACGGTTTTGACCACCACAGCCATTTCTGATAAGACTGACTGACTTCATTGGCTAGTCACGGCGAGTCATTCAGTGAAATCAAGGAGATCGTGCTCTTTGTTTGCTCCAGGTTGGATGAAGCAGACGACAATAGAGAGCACTTACGGCCCGTGCTCACTGAGCTAGTTGGCAGCTGTTGACACGGACCAAGGACAGGGCGGATCAAAATAGAGATTGCGTGGGGCAGAAAGAAGAGCTTGCCAGAAGGGTTGAAGGCTCAAGGCAGGCTGTTGATGTGCAACCGGCAACTCCAGTGTGCTCTTCACTTAAATGTGATGGGTACAGGCTGCATGATGTTGGGCCCCGCTCATTCCGTCCTCGCCTTGCACCCTGTGCAGTTACGGGAATCATAGTCGGCTAGCATCTTGTCGGCAGCAGGATTCTGGCAAGTTGCCAATATTTCAGCAGCACCTTGCGATACCAGAAAATCACATGTGATGTCATGGAAGGCCTCAGCAGTGATGTAGTATTGCAAAGAATCTTCCCTGCAGAACCTCTTCGGGATCCCAACGGCATCTGAGAGTTTCAAAAGTGACAGGCTACCTCCCTTGCTCACAAGCCAGGTTCTCCCCATTCATCCAGAAATCACATCTTCTTGCTTGCCTTGTGCGCTTCCGTGCGTGCTTGCCCGCCTGCTTGATTGCTTTCTCGCTAGCCCAACTGCTTGGCGCTCTCTCGGGCAACCAACTCTAGCACACGCACCCATCTTCAGCCGAGTTTGGTGTCTAAGGGCAACCCTCCAAACATTTCCGAGCAAGTCGCTCACCCCTTCCCTTTAAACCAACTCCCACGCGCCACGAAGCCATTCGGCCGCCAACTCCCCGACGGCTCCCGGAGGCGCAGGCGGTTGCCCGCGGTGAGCGCCTCGAGGCCGCCGCGCAGCACCTGGAAACCGCTCGCTCGCCGGGTGAGGCGAGGGGCACCATGTGGCTGTGGCGAATTCAAAAAACCGGAATTCCAAAATGGGTTGCCCGATCGGTCAGTGGAAACATGGGTACCAAAACCTGCGGATTGCCCCTCCGATCGTTTAATTTTGAGCCACACCCGCGTGCTTTGGGGAGGTGGGGGAGATTGGGGTGGAGTGGGGGGTGGGGCTGGAGAACCGTCTGAATTTCCCTTGAGCCGTTACGCCCTTCCGCCCTTCTGTCCATATGCCCCGCGTGAATTTGCGCGAGCCAGCGGCCGTCAAGGGCCATTACATTGACATAGACACATGGTTTTTGGCAACACGGGTGCCGGTCGGCCTTCACCTCAACAATGTTGGCAGGTACCGGTTTTGCTCTTGATTACCCTAGCTCAATAAAACCAACAATTGCATGATTTGGAAACTTGGTGAAATCCCAATGGATGCCCCAATCAGAAATGACGTGGATGCCCCTTATTTGGGAATCCCCAAGCGGTTCATTCCCAAAACAAACGTGATTGCTCATAAGGATTTGGGTGGCACAAAACAAAAACAGAGCAGTGTCATTCAAGCGAGAAAGAAAGACAAGAAACTGCAGACTCAGCCTGAGGCAAACAACGGCATCATGGATATTGGCAGCTTCTTATGTCGTCGAGCTGGCTCTTTCATGAGTCTCTGTTCCGGAAATCGCATGAGGCTCACTCCCTTCTCATACGCCCTTCTGGGTCTGGTCGTTTGGAAAGCGAAGTGTCTGGATCGCCAACGTATGGACATCTCAGCGGCCGAAGCCCATTCACGAAGGTTCTAAAATGGATATCAAGGCTTCCACGGGCCCGAGTTTTTTATGCTTGAAGGTAGCAGAACCACCAAGAACGGCCGACCGGGTTGAATTGTGCGGGCGCTTCTTGAATCCGCACCCCTGGCGGAGAAAACAAAAACAAATAATTATTTAAATAAATACATAAAAAAAAAAAAAAAAAAAAAAAAAAAAAAAAAAAAAAAAAAAAAAAAAAAAAAAAAAAAAAAACACACACACACACATGCGCGCGCGCGCCCCCCCCCCCCCTCCCCCCGAAAAAGGCGGGGCGGCGAACCGGGCGAACGGGAGACATCTCTGAGTCCGGCGCTTTGGCCGGCGCAAGTCCTCGGGTCCGAAGCTTCCGATTTGGGCGACCAGACAGCTGAGACGTGGTGGGCTCGAAGTGGCAACCAACAAACGGTGTGGTTTCAAGTTCATGGCTTCAAACCACCTTCTGGGTTTGCAAACCTTCTGGTTTTTGAAACCCTCTGGTTTCAAAAGTGGTGCCGGATTCCGTCCACAGTATTAATCAATCCGTGTGTAGTCATAGGGGGTGGTGTTTGGAACCTCCGAAAGTCTGATTCCAACCACGAAATCAAGTTGGACACACCCATATTGATAAACAGGGGTTGATTCATATGGGATCAACATGACCCCCTTTGTTTGGTGGGTTTTTGAGGGCAAGCAAGAAACCGGAGACCACTGGTTGTTTTGGGGGTGACCTCCAAAAACGATACGCGGGGCTCCGGCTCCGATCATGACTATGACTTTCCAGGAAAGCGCCCGCAGCCACGGTCTCACTTGAGTGGATGGCCCAACAAAGTTCAAACTTTATATTTACCACTGAAATGGTCTTCCCAAAAAGTTTAAAGTTCATGAACTGCGGAAGTGAGCCCGGTTCCTTCTCTTCGAATGAAAGCTGACAGAGAGCTTCTGCAATGTTCTAGTCTATAGCGAGTCAGTCTCAGCTTCTTTTGGGTGAAGCTGGAAGTCAAGCCACCCGTGTCCACGCCATTGATGACATCCCTCCGCAAGCCGCGGAAGAAGTCGACAATCACCTGATTGATCCTGGGCTCAAGAAACACGGCTTGAGCGCTGGGAACTGTTCTGCATGCTATCGAGCATGTCCGCCGACATTGCTCGGCGTGTCGGATACTTACTAGAGGATAGAGGATAACCCCCCCCCCTAACCCCCCCCCCGCCCGACGTCTATTACGTAGGTTTTTGGGGGGGGGGGGGGGGTCCCCCACGTACCGCGCGGCAATTTGATGACGTTCCACTAAACGTAGTCTTCGGGGAGCCGGTGTCGCAAAACAGGGGTCCCAGGCTCGATTCCCCCTGCCGGCTTTTTTGCTGGCTTGGGCTTCCTGCATCCTTTTAACGAAAATCTGGAAAAACTCAATGTTTTTGGGCGTCCTCTTTGCGAAAACGCTGGAAAAACCGTGTTTTTTTGCGGGAAATGCATACATACATACATACATACATACATACATGCATGCATGCATGCATGCATGCATGCATACATACATACATACATTTCAAACATACATTACATACAAACATACATACATACATACATGCATGCATACATACATACATACATGCATTACATACATACCTACATACCTACATACCTACATACCTACATACCTACATACCTACATACCCACATACATACATACATACATACATACATACATACATACATACATACATACATACATACATACATACATACATACATACATTACATACATACATACATACATACATACATACATACATACATACATACATACATACATACATACATACATACATACATATACATACATACATACATACATATACATACATACATACATACATACATACATACATACATACATACATACATACATACATACATACATACATACATACATACATACATACATACATACATACATACATACATACATACATACATACATACATACATACATACATACATACATACATACATACATACATACATACATACATACATACATACATACATACATACATACATACATACATACATACATACATACATACATACATACATACATACATACATACATACATACATACATACATACATACATACATACATACATACATACATACATACATTACATACATACATACATACATACATACATACATACATACATACATACATACATACATACATACATACATACATACATACATACATACATACATACATACATACATACATACATACATACATACATACATACATACATACATACATACATACATACATACATACATACATACATACATACATACATACATACATACATACATACATACATACATACATACATACATACATACATACATACATACATACATACATACATACATACATACATACATACATACATACATACATACATACATACATACATACATACATACATACATACATACATACATACATACATACATACATACATACATACATACATACATACATACATACATACATACATACATACATACATACATACATACATACATACATACATACATACATACATACATACATACATACATACATACATACATACATACATACATACATACATACATACATACATACATACATACATACATACATACATACATACATACATACATACATACATACATACATACATACATACATACATACATACATACATACATACATACATACATACATACATACATACATACATACATACATACATACATACATACATACATACATACATACATACATACATACATACATACATACATACATACATACATACATACATACATACATACATACATACATACATACATACATACATACATACATACATACATACATACATACATACATACATTACATACATACATACATACATACATACATACATACATACATACATACATACATACATACATACATACATACATACATACATACATACATACATACATACATACATACATACATACATACATACATACATACATACATACATACATACATACATACATACATACATACATACATACATACATACATACATACATACATACATACATACATACATACATACATACATACATACATACATACATACATACATTACATTACATTACATTACATTACATTACATTACATTACATTACATTACATTACATTACATTACATTACATTACATTACATTACATTACATTACATTACACATTACATTACATTACATTACATACATTACATTACATTACATTACATTACATTACATTACATTACATTACATTACATTACATTACATTACATTACATTACATTACATTACATTACACATACATACATACATACATTACATACTTACATTCCATTACATTACATACATACATACATACATACATACATACATACATACATGCATACATACTTATGTACATGCATGCATACATACGAGAGAGGGAGATTGGGGAGAGAGAGGCTTGGGGGGATGGGGAGGATGGGAGCAGCGGGAGGGAGAGAGGACGACAGAACACACAAGGGAGACAAGGAAGAGAGGAAGAAGCAGAAAAGGGAGAGGACAATGTCGGCGGACTGAGCCGGAGGCTCTAAAGTCAGAATCCACGACGGGTGGCTCCCTTTGCGCGGAAGCACCAGGGCCTACTTTTGCCCTTCTCAAAGGAGCGATGGGTGTAATGCCCCCAACATGGATAAATGAGTCCTCTTCTCATGAAAGCCACTCAAATCAGGCAGAGTCACTGAATCGAGGTGCCATCGCGGGCCTGCAAACGACCATCGCCGAAGTCGTGGGCATGCCGATTGAAGCTTGCCCAGACAACAAACGAGCGCGCACTCATCGCTATGGTCTTCTCACGAGCACTTCACCTTCAGAGACCAATGTGCAACTCATGCAAGCCCAACCTGCTTGGCCAACATGACCAAGTTTGTCAAGCGGTCCCACCTTGGCAATATGCTACCCGAACACTAAAACCTGCGTAACCCTCAGTTGATTAATTTTCAGCCACTCCCATTTATCCTCTGAGCCAGAGGTTCAAATCTCCCCAAAGAGGGTTTCATGAGCGGATCGGATCCTCGCATGCGTTGTTTGTTCCCCTTCTCCGGGAAGGAGGCCATGATATGATTTCTAGGCGGGGATGGCTCAGACAGGCCACTTTGACGCTCATCGCTGGCAACCGTGTAACTTTTCCCAAGAACCGCGTTGCTTGTGAGTGGCAGGAGAGTTGCGCTTCAATCCCAACCACCAACTAAGGCCTGAAGGTTACCTGATTTACTGCAAAGAGCAGTGCCCTCTGCACCCGTGAGAAAGCTGGGCTTTGTTTTCGCGGGCCCGGAGAATTGCGGTCCCTCTGTGTTTCCTCTGGTTTCCACCACAACGGGGTACCCTAAAAAAAAAAAACGACCACCCAAATGTGGAACACCCGCGGACAAGAAGCGTGTTTTCGGTAGATGCTGGGTTCATTCCCACAGGCGAGCAAGGCGCACAAAGGCGGGCGAAAGGCTCCGGAGCTTTTAGAACCGGCGGCTCAACAAAAAGGACCTGTACAACCCTTGGTGGCCATGAACCAGCAACTGTGCAGGGACCTCAATATAGCTTGCCCTAAAGATCGAAACGAAAAGCAGGCTCAAGCCTGCAGTCCATATCCTGAAAAATATCTGAAATGCCCAGAGTCAACGTCCAACAGCCTTTCATCTTGCAACACCCACCGATGTGAAACCCACCGATCTGCGAAACATCGCGGCTTCTTGGGCTGGCACTGCAGCACCGGCCGCTGATCCTCACCTTCTGCGCGGAAGACGATGCTCAGCAACTCACGCCTCGCGAGACATGGCTCGTATTTTTCGAGGGCACCCTTTGTTTGGTCTGTTTTTGAAGGGACACCAAAAGGAAAACGAGATCCATTCTGGGGGTCGCCCCCCAACAAAATGAGGACGCACCCACATGGGAGACAAGACAACTTGTGAAGCGCTTTCACGGCAACTCGCCCCTGCCTCAACCTGGAGTTTGGATTGCTCAGTAGCCTCTTCGAGGCATATGGAAGAGCCACCTGCCATGCTCGCTATGATCGAACAACCCTCTGTCCAATCATGGAAGTGGATAGGGGGCTTTCTCAGAAGGAATGTAGTCTTCCAAGAACCTCCTGTCAGCTTCCAGGATTGGAGGGAGGGTTTTCTTCAGGTGTCTGCCGCTCAGCTCATCCTGTTGAAACGTCATTGATATCAGGAGAAGGCGCCCTCCAATAGAACGCATCGGAGAACAAGGCAAGGCAAGCAACCAGCGGTCAGTTCCCGGCAAAAGACGTACAAATATTCTGCCGAAAATGTATTGAGTCCAGTGGCTTTCGTGTATGCGTGTCGAGATGAGGTCCAGAAGCTGGTTGGTATCCGGCTGCAGGAGCACTACCAAGCAAACAAATGAGTGTCTCAAAGGGAAGAATGGTTTACTTCCTTGAGCGCTCGCTGCAAAACAAAACAAAAAGTGTGCCCTCCAGATCGGTCGACAAGCTGGCCAGGAAGTGACTCGCCTGCCCAATGCACCTCGAAATTCAAGACTCGTCTTGGAAAGCCTCGATTAGATATGGACCAAGGCTCCAAAAACCCGGCGCCACAATGACCTTGGCCAATGGAACCGAAGCCTCTCTCAAATTTGTCCTTTCCTTTGCCCTGGCCCTTGAATTTTGAGCCACCCCTCTTTGTCCCAAGGACTCCGAAGACGTCCAAAGCGGACGGCTCGAACGGACGGCGAGCACGGACGGACCAGCCCCGGGACCTGGAAGTGTCAACAACTCACATGACGAGACCGGAAGTGAGCGACCTGCTCAAAACCGAGGGGTAGTAAAATTGGGAAAGCTAAGAGGAAAAAACGAGGCGGAACGAGCCATGATCAAGACCTATTTTACTACCGGGTGGGGATTCTAGGCTACCTAATTTAGTGCTTGGGTTCGGTCCCGTTCACTGGATTTTGGCACGGGATTTTGACCCATGGCCACTTGAGCCACTTGCAATCAAAACCCGGTATTAAAAATGCTCGTTCTCCCAGAACCATGCTTCAAGAATTCAGAAGGCGGAGATCCGTAACTAATGGCTGGGACTGTTCCGAACCTTCACTTACCCGGATCGGTTTTGAGCAAGTGACTCAAGTGAGGATGCCCCGCGTCTCGGGGAATCCAAAGCCCATGCAAGGAAAACACCACGGCTCCACACGAACTTTCAGCGGCCATGGCCTCAATGATGCTGAATTCAGGGTTCAGGCACCTCAGTGGCGCGCCCTGAAGACTTAAAGTTGGGCTAGTTGAAATGGGGGAAGTTGAAATGGGGGAAGTCTTGAGCGCCTGACTTTCCAAAGCTTGAAGTGCCAGCGGCTGATAACAAAGGCTCAAGACTTCAAGCTTTGAAAGACGAAGACTGTTGCCCAAGCGGTGAAAGGAAAGAGCTTTTTGAATTTCCCAGCTACCCCCCCCCCCCCCGGTTGATGCAACATGTTTTTCCTCGTGGAAGGAACAAATTGTGCGGAAAACCTCGCCCGAAACATGAAATGTGTCACGGAAAACACCCTGCGCGGCTCTTCTTGGGCAAGCTCATCTTGCAGCCGAAGAGCATACAAATCCCCTCCTGCATCAGCAAGGAACGGATGACCAGCGAAAACCTGCCGAGCAATAGATCAAGCGTCTCAGCATGGTCACTCTTTCAATGAAGAGCAACAAAATCAAACTACATGATCTCCATGAAAATATCTGCCATCTCCACTGTCGAAGATGGACCTATCCTCTTCCAAGCTCTGCATCACCATCTGACCCAACCTGCCCGGACCCGGCAAAAAAAACGAACCGCTCCGAGCGAGAACCTGACGCCCGCCTCTCGGGGATGCGGATCGGGAACTGGTAGACCAGCTTGGAGAAGCGCGCGGTGACCTGAGGCTTCTCGACGAGGCACAGCTCCGTTTCAGTGATATGGGTGTGGCTCAAAATTTCAGAGGCAAAACAAAAAGCGAAGGTTGTAGTCTCTGGTTCCATTCTGCCAAAGTTCCGGAAAAAAAAAAAAAAAAAAAAGGTTTTTGAGCCAGAGCCATATGAGTTCGCACAGTTCGCGCAGAACTGACAGAAGCTCAAGTGAACAATCCATCGATCCATCGATACGAGTGCACAAGCACAGTTGATAACAGACGGCAAGCGCGGAGCTTCACGGCCCTTCCTGGCCCTCCCGACAAGAAGTCTGTCTGTCCGCTTCAACTTCCCTCGAGTTCCGAAACTTCGGCTCCAACCGGCCCCGGGGCTCGGATCTTCATCAAAGATCGGACAACTCGGCGTCCGGGCGGTGCGGAAGTTGAAGTCTTTGATGGACTTGCCCATGGAGTCCTCGATCGCGGATCGCGGAACGCGGAAGGAACGCGGAAGGAACGCGGAAGGAACGCGCACGCGGAAGATCCCATGCTGGTTAGATTGGCCTCGAACAAGGGAAGCGCTGGGACTGATCTCAGGCATGGGATCTTTTGATCCAGAGGAATGTATGATTCCATAGGAATGGATCTTTGGATCCATGGGATTGCAGTAATGATCTCAGGCAAGGAATGTTGGGTCAAATCCTTACATGCTTCTCCCGACGAATAACTATGATACCTTTCCCATAGATGTACAAATATAAACAAGACTTGGGCAAAGCAATACTAAACCAAATCTAAAATCCCAGATTTCCCGCCGACCCCAGCTGCAGTCATATTAGCCAACAATTCACATACTAAACTACAACTAAACCAAAACGAGACAAACACAAAGCCAATACTCCACGAATCCAAAGTTTGTAGTCAGAAACAACCCTCTTCTACCTTCTCGAAGCAAAACAACGTCTGACCTAAGGACTGCAGTGACACCCGTTGGGGCACAAATCCAGCTTCTTGATTTCAATAGCCTTCAGCCCGCAGGCGAGTATATTCATTTGGGGGGGACTGTACATATGCTTAGGAAGAAAATGGGGCAAGTGAACAGTGAACCCAACAAAGAGTGAAGGCCCCCATGCCTCGAAAGCATCCTAGGTCAGGGGAAAAAATGGAACATGCTGTGAAGGTTCATGCGCGAGCTAGCACGGGTTTGGCGCAACAGAGTTGCTGCTCTTCTCATGCTCAACAGTGCAAGATTAGCAGCTCAGCTGCTCTTGCACCTGGCTGCTGTCTCCGCCGCGTTCTGAAGCACCCCAGGTCACAACAGCCCCAGATTCAAGAATGGCAGCAAAGGCAAAATCAGTTGCTTGGATGTGCTGGACCTTCCTCAGCTGCTCTTGCACCTGGCTGCTGTCTCCGCCGTGTTCTGAAGCACCCCAGGTCACAACTGCCCCAGATTCAAGAATGGCAGCAAAAGCTCCAGAAGTTGCGTGTTGCTTGGATGCGCTGGACGTTCCTCAGCTGCTCTTGCACCTGGCTGCTGTCTGCACCTGAGTATCGATTGCCCCAGGTCACAACAGGCCCAGATTGAAGAATAGCAGCGAAAGCATCGGTAGTTGCTTGGATGTGCTGGACGTTCCTCAGCTGCTCTGGATGACCCCAGGTCACAACATCCCCAGATTCATTGCTTGGATGTGCTGGACGTTCTTCAGCTGCTCTCGCACCTGGCTGCTGTCTCCACCAAACTCTGGATCACCCCAGGTCACGACAGCCCCAGATTCCAGAATGAGCACCATGGCAAGGCTCACGAGTTGATTGGACTTGTTGGACATTTGGCTGGAGGAGCTGGCTGCCGTCTCCACCAACCGCGGGATTCCCCCAGGCCACAACCGCACGGCAGTCGTGCCAAGCAAACGCGCCAGTGGTGGCAGCCACTTTGCCAAGTTGCACAACCGCAGCCACCACATCCCCATCTCGCAAGCCTGCCTCACTTAGCGTGGTCGTCAAATCGAGCTGCTGGCCTTTCGCAATGAGCCCCACGCGGCGGTGGAAATGCCGCTGCGCGGCTGCTTTCAGCTCTCTGATGGGTGTCTCCGGAGAGACTGCTATGGAGCAACCATCTCCATTGGGCAAGTGCACATCCACCTTCATGGCACAGGAAGGTCTTTCTGGCTGGAGCTGCGACAACATGTAAATGGCCTGTTGAGTTGCCTTGTAAACTTTCTCCACTGGAATCCCAACCATTTGCGAGAGCTCCCATCCTTGGACACATCCATGTCGATGTTTCATGTGGGGGATGATCCTTTACATGGAATGACCATTGGGAAAAAAAAAACGAAACAATAATTCAACCTCATGGGAAAAGTTACCCATGGTCAAAACTGGGGCCCCAAACGGAATATCGATCAACCCCACAAAGGTCTTGATCAAAACTGGGGAAGCTATCGAGCCGACTCAGGCCGTCAAACATCCGGACCACTTCACAAAGACAGATTCGTCGTTGGTGGATCAGACCTAAGGAGAACACACAAAACGGAAAACCCTCAGCTCCCCTCCTCGTGCCTGCAGGTTTGGCTTCCCATTTCCCCGAACAAGAAGGGACCTGGTTTGTCTCCAGATTTTCCAAATCCAAACGGAACGGGTACTTCACAAGCTATCCTTCGAAACTTGACCTGGATTGGTCACTTGCCAGGGTTGCGCTTTCACAGAATGATGTGTCCCAGGATCCAAAAAAGAAAAAAACGCTTGGTTCCAGGGATAGTTTTGAGTTGGTACCCTTCTGCAGATTGGTGGAAAGGGGTACCTCTCATTCTCGCATTCCATCACTGTCTTCAACTTCTCTCACCATCTCATTCATTAGGTGAGAGAGTAACGGATGAAGAAAATGGAGCGACGGATGAAGAATGAAGAAGGAGACTGGCAAGAGAGAAGGTAACGAGCGCAGGCATGTCCACAGCTTCGTTCATTCTCCCATCCTGGCTGTTACCATTGTGACCCAACAGATTAACTCCCAACTCCTAGAGACAGAGCGTAGCAGAGCCGAGAGAAAGGGAAGATGTTGGCACCTCTTCGCCTTTTCCCCTCCCACCGGTAACACCAATATAATGCTCGGGAGAAGGTAGGCATGTCTTTCCCTGTCTCGTTCCTTGCACTTCCCATCGCTTCCCAGTCATGCCGTCACCAAGAAACCCATCCCTCGCTCTTCCCCTCCTCTCTCCTCTCTTGTCTATGACCCAGCGCAGCGGAGGGAGGGAGGAAACGGGCGAGCCGAGGCAGGCAAGGGAAAGAGATGAGCCATTCCTTTCTTCCTTCCAAGCTTCTTTATTTCTAATATGTTAATGTTGGAGAAGCTTCGAAAGAAATATGAAAGGAATGGAAAGAGAGATGACATGATGAATGGGAGGGGGAAGGAAGAGCTGATAATTACAGTAAGCCTCTCCATCACATTCTATCTCTTATCATGTCCTCTAGTCCTGTCTCCATTCCATCCCATCCAGTTAACAAAGATGGAATGGCTCTCTCGTTCACTGTCAAGGAAGGAAGGGACTGACGTACGAAGGCAAACTTAACGGTCAAAGGATTCCTCACCTCTTCGCTGCAGCGAGGAAAGGGAGATGCGGTCATGCCTTCGTTAACTCCTCCATTCACTCACTTCGCTCGCTCATGGCGGAACGAAGGTGAGACAAGAATCTGGTGAATGGGATGGCGAGTCCTATCTAATTCTCTAACTAACTCGCCATATCTTGACCCCCTCCCTACCTTCCCCAATCTCTCCCTACTCTCGCTCCCAAATGCAAAGATAAGTGAGCTGCGAGAGGAAGAGATAGGACTGGACGGACAGTTGGCTCGCTCGTTACCTCTGTCCCTTCCTTGTCCTTTTCAGTCGTCAGCCGAGAGCAGGAGGTGGTAGACGGGAAAGGCAAGGAAGGAATATCGTTTCATCATATCTTCCCCACCTAACTCCAAGCTACGGAAAGGTGTTGAGATAAAGAGATGGGGAAAGGCATGTAAGTCCTGTCAGCCTTTCCATTCCTTCCATTCATTTCCTTTCACTCACCTGCCTAAGATCTCAGATACAAGAGTTGGCAGGTGAAAGGAAATGGCATCTCTTTCTCTCTCTCTCTCTCACACATCCGTTCGGCCTTCATCTTTGGTATCTGGATTTCTTGGAAGGACAGGTAGACAGTAGTAAACTCAGGGCCTTTACGTCAGACACAAGAATCTGGGAAATTCAACAGTTGCAAGAGAGATGAAGAAGAGATTATACCTTCATTCATATGTCGTTCCTTCGTCTTCACAAATGTTCGAAAGGAGAATGAAGGTAAAAGAAAAGCAAATACTATTCTTATCTGGATTTCATGTTGGATGCAATCATTAATCTCTTGCTTTTCATCATTTCCAGATTCCTTCGTTTCCAAGTTTCTGAGAGCTAGAGATGCAGGGAAAATACCCGGATGGATAAGATACGAGGAAGAGATGAATGTGACGGAAGGGAAGGGAACTGGAGAACGCTTCCTTCGTCATCTCACACTTTCCTTTCTTGTAGAGAAGACTTCACTTTCTCTCACCAATTTCCCTTCTTCTTAATGACCTCTCTCAAGGCTGTACCTCTCTTTCTCTCGGGCAAGCCCTAGACAAGCCGTGTACAGGCTGGCGCCATGGAAGACCCAGCTAATAAAGATGTAACCCTTCCTTTTTTACCTTGCCTATCTTATAATTATCTCTGTCATTTCAATCTTGTAATTATTGATGATTGCTGGCAGAAGTGCTGACTGATTGGCTGAGTGGATTGATGGGATTGATAGAATTGATGAATTTGCAGGAAGGAATGGAATTCATGGGATGGATATGATGGGTAGGATGGATGGAATGGCTGGCATGGCTGGCATGGCTGGCATGGATGGCATGGATGGCATGGAAGGCATGGATGGCATGGATGGCATGCATGGCATGGATGGCATGGATGGCATGGATGGCATGAATGGCAGCTGAATAAGGGTCAGAGGTGATCCAATAAAGCCTCTTCCTCTCTGATGACATTGACATCTAGCATATAAGAATAGACAAATATATCTACGCAGATCAACGCACACGGGAAGGTGACATGAATCGAGAATGAATGAAAGCTTCCCAGCAAGCGTGAACACTGCACAGTGGGTGGGCACGTGTCTTCTCTGGCACAAGAGACAGAATGTGAACCCGTCTGCGACACACGGCGCAAATCTTATACCTGACTGTCCTGACATGCGCCAAGCACGCCTGCGCAATCACGTGTATGAGTCTCTATTCAGCACCCGTGAGTCAAAAACTCACCCAGCTCATGATATCAAGTTCTTTACAACCCCTTGGGACCAATCAACAAAAGAAGAAACAAACCATTTAAACAGATATATATATATATATATATGTATGGTCCGCCCCCCCCCCCCCCCAGATCATATATATATATATATATATATATATTATTATTATATATTTATTATTATTTATTATTATTATTATTATTATTATTATTATTATTATTATTATTATTATTATTTATTATTATTATTATTATTATTATTATTATTATTATTATTATTATTATTATTATTTATTATTATTATTATTATTATTATTATTATTATTATTATTATTATTATTATTATTATTATTATTATTATTATTATTATTATTATTGTTATTGTTATTGTTATTTATTGTTATTGTTATTATTATTATTATTATTATTATTATTATTATTATTATTATTATTATTATTATTATTATTAATTATTATTATTATTATTATTATTATTATTATTATTATTATTATTATTATTATTATTATTATTATTATTATTATTATTATCATTATTATATATATATATATATATATTATATTATATATATATATATATATGAATTTGTATATATATAATGCCGAGTTGGTGTCCTAACTTTATCATCGACCCACCGGTGCATCCGTCCGAGTCGAGTCCCCGGCCGCCCAGATGGTCTCCATGGCCGGCACGATCTCCGAGACGTCCGTGCCCGGACGGAGGAAGCCCAGGCGGATGAAGTCGTTGGCGATCTCCTGGTGGCAAGGAAAGTCATCATCAAGACTTATTTTACGGGTTACGGGGGCCATGCCAGATGGCCGCGGTTGTCAAAAATTGAAATTCCCATTTTGGAACCCTGGTAAATGGAACCGAGGACTCCGATTCCTGGTGCTTTAATTTTGGGCTCGCCCTTCTTGGGGGATTGGTTCTAAGTGGAAAAAACGAGGCGGGACGAGTCATGAGCAACACTTTTTTTACCGGGTGGGGATTTTAGGTTACCTACTCTAGTGCTTGGATTGGTTGATGTTCACTGGATTTTTGGCACGGGAGTTTGACCCATGGCCACTTGAGCCACTTGCAATCAAAACCCGGTAGTAAAATGGTAATCCCAGAACCATGCTTCAAGAATCAAGAACTCTCACGGCGTGCCCCGTTCCTTTTTTTGGAGGCGCTCGGTGCCCGTCTTTTGGGGCTCTGGGTTTTAATGGAAACCAAAAGGAAAACCCACATCCATGTTGGGGGATCCAACCAAAAAAAAGAAGGTGTGTTCTCAATGTGAAGGCTTTCCGATGTAAAAATGTGATATGGCAAAACCGAAGCTGGCATATGTTTTAGAGAGGCAAGAACCTTGATCCTTTTCCATCCCCGTGAAAGTTAGGAGATGGGGTTGGAACACACCCATTGCGTGGAGGAAATTTCCCGGGGAAACGCTTTCGCCACCAAGGTGTCTCCTGGTAGTCTGAATTTGACACGTGGGTTATGGCTCCGATCAGCACCTCAACTTGCTGGTGCTCAGCAGGGAGTGAGAAAT